TCCTACTGACAACTTTAGAGTTGACTCACCTCTCTACAGGAAGCCATCAAGCTCATAAACACATTTTCTGAAATATCTAATTACTCTATTAAAAAAATCTATGATTTTGACAACTGGAATGCTGCAGCTCAAAACCATCTCTTTCTCTAACCTAAGGTATTTAGGCATCAACATTTCCCCCAAGCCATCAGACTTGTTTCAACTAACTTTTGACCCACTGCTAAAAAATAAAAGATGAGCTGGTCTGCTGGATGAACTTGCCTCTTTCTATAATTGGCAGAACAGCATCTGTTAAAATGATAATCCTACCTAAAATTAATGTTGACAATGGTCCCATTCATTGATTCAATAAGTAAGTTTTACCCGAAAAACAAAAACCCTAGGATTAAACTAACCACTTTACAGAAAAAGTAAACTCAAGGAGGATTGAAAGCACTTTTTTACAATTAGTATTTGGCAAACCACCAACTACAATACATAATAAATGGCTCTGACCTAACCAACAAGATAACCAAGGAACTTTCACTCTCCAAATTGTCATTTCTTAACATCATTAAAAACACATCACAATTGTTTTAAGAACACTAATTTCAACAACCCTGCCAGCTTGGTGGAAAATCAATAAAATTACAAAGTCCACACTGACAAATTCAGATACATGCTCACACTGTGCACAAGACACTGCAGATAACTGTAACAATGTTTTAGGCAGACAGTAATTGATAGAATGTCCCTCCTTGTGAGCCGCAGCATTCCTCTGTCTGCATCTTTGTTCACTTGGAGATCTCCCAGTAATTAATCCACCAATTCAGAACCCCCAATCATATATACATACAAATTTTATGTGTAATATGTAAACTGTACTAAATGTAACCATAAAGTTTCCTGTTCATACCTCACATTTACACTCTGTCCGGTCTCATCCTGTCCAGTCTGTTAAGCTTTTTTTTCTTGCTATTCTTGCCAAATTTGCATTGTCAAAATAAGTTGATATTAGACTTCTTAACTTCTTCTGTATTGGATCAATGCCTGCCCACAGATGGGATAGCAAAGTTGTTATGAGAAATTATGCCGAGGGCTTGAGGGTGGATATGAGAAGGAGAACAGGAGCATGACTGGAGAAGTAGAGTCCGTCAAGGGCACAGAAGCTATCCAACTCAGAGGGAGGTCTGATCTTAGTGCTGGGCTCCCCCCCTTCTGTGACAGCCCACAAGGATGAAGGGAGGAAACTGGAGGCAGTTAATCCACAGGATGGGAAAGGCCCTATTGGGTGGCTCTGGGATTCAGAGAAATTAGGCTCATCATCCAAAAGAGAACTGCAGCATTCTCAAAGCCGGCAGGTACCCTGTGGTCCAGTGAACCCCTCTCTAGCCCAGTGTCTGGCCAAGGGCTGTTGTATGGACTCTTGCTATTATTCTATGGAGGTGTGCAGATGCTTTCATCGTATACCAGACCTTCTCTGTACCACCTATGGACCCAGCCAGCCTTGGGTTGCTGGGAACAACCTTACACCCCACTTATCTGTATCTCAAGTTGGGCCATCTTCAAGTCGCCCGTGACTGGGGGGTGAGACCCATGTCTTTGTGGTAGGGTCGATCTACCTGGCTTAGGTGGAGATCCTGGCCAGACACAATAGCCTCACCTATAGAGTCATCACCAGAATACTCCAAACAGACAGCTATCTGGATGGTGCTCTTTGAGTGCTGCCCGAATCTTCTAGACTAAGGCCACGCTTCCACTCTGCACATTCATATCAAGCAATCTCTGCTGGCACTATCACCACAACCAGAGCTTGCAGTTCCTGGATTGCACCTCCCAGAAACACCTGGCATTGAGATCATGTGCTTCATGGAGGTGAGCCTGCCCTCAGAGAAGCTCTGTACAGACGTCTGCTTCAAGATTCCAGAAAATAAGACCCTGAATGCGGACAGATCATTTGCCCAGAAAAGGTGACCGGCCCGCCCCACAAAGGGAGGAGATGACCATCTGACCTCTGGTCAGCGACAAGGTTTGTTAATGTGTTTAC